TTACATAACTTCTTAAAACATTTATTTCTGCTTTTGAGCCTACTTCTGAGTAATTATATCAGTTACTCAAGAATGGACTACCATTTATTTTTGGTAAATATAAATACTGCCGTACAACCTCTGGAAATGATTTCATCGATTCAGAAAAAATTTTCTTCGCTGTATTGTCTTTTATTTTCTCCATGACTCGATCTATATTTTCGGTGATTTGAAATCTCAGGAGAATAAACTCCATTGAAGAATAATGTAGTGCAGATTGCATGGATGGTTGATGATGGTATCAGATATGCTGCTGAGTCATCGAAAAGCCTTAGGATTATGGGTGAACCAGTATTTGGGCACAATTATTTTAATGTATGTCAACAGCTTAGCAGTACGTCTTATACCATCAGCCTACATGGATATAGTGAGTAACCTCAACTGTATAGTAAACATTTAACAAACACAAAATAATTGAGCAAAGAATATCCTTTTCGATAATTCCCTCCTCTTCTGGCTCTACAATTATATATGCATGTTTATATGCATAGAATATTCTAGAATAGAAGTTAATAACAATATTGGTGTTTTTTTAAATAATATCGATTTGTAAAGTAAGATAACAATGGAATTACAGTTCATTAAAGATGCTTAAACTACAATAATAATAAAGATATAATAGCAAATAGAATATCAACTAAAATTAGGAAATTGAGGATCATTCAAACCTAGATGGACAAGGTAATGATAATGTTTGAACTAACTTCTTTTGGATGCAAAAATTAGGCTTTTTAATATGGATGGATCTCAACAGCCAGCCTCAGCAATATTTAGTAGTCGAACTCTTAAGGCGAAATTGAGATTCGTAGGTATGCGGTAAATGACCCTGAAAGCCTTATTAACGTCAATCTTGTGTTCTGCATCCACCAGATGAGATAGAATAGCGCTACGAATAGATTTTGTTTGTTTTTGCTTAACCATACAGGGTGATGTTCGGAAATTCGACGAGAAACATACGTCTAATAGTACAGCCTATGTAAACGTCACCACAGGCGCCGCAGAGAATTTTATATCTGTAAAACAAAAAGGTATAAACCAATTCATAGATAAAGATCTCCCTCAAGATATCTATAGGCGTAGCTCAATCTTTCCATACACTTAGTTTTACACGATAAATAGAAAGTGTATAATCACCATTTTTAACTAATGTATCTTAACCTCAAACTATTTAGCCACTGAATCATGCACCTAAGCAATCTGAACCAGACAATCGGATAGTGCAGCTGCATCATGAAGATAAATGTAAAAATCCTATCTGTGATATAAAGAAAAGAAATACTTGAAAGAGCTTGAAATCCTTCGAAGCCAACTAGATGAACTACAGGAAATTCTGAAGAAGAAAAATCCATCAGTCAAACAACACATTGGGTAAGTTTACTTAATATTGTTCAATCTTTTTATCCAACAACAACACCAAAGTTATTATACAATTTTTCTCTTGGGTTCCCAGTGCAGCATAGGGATTCAACAACCCATCTCCACCTTGTCCTATTTCCTGCAGCACTCTTTAGCTGAGTCCACGTTTTCTCATAGTCTCTCATCTCCTCCTCCATGTTACCATCCAACCTACGCCCCAGTCGTCGCTCCCCATTCACGTTCGACTCGAGAGATGACGGGCATTGCGAACGACGTCATTCGACGGCCTCCTCAATCCACCTCCACTTTCTTCTACATCTTTGTCGAGTAATCGGTTCTTGGTTGGCTCCTTCTCATAGTTTCTTGTGGCGAATTCTTTATGACCAGTAGGCTGGCCATTTGATCTTCATTATTCAGTCAACGAAGACAGCTGTTGATAGAAGTCTACAGTAGCCTGTTCGGAATGCTTTTTGTGACACACTCACCAGGTTTCTAAACCACATAGAAGAAGTAACTGACCTGATATTTGCGTTATAAATCCGAATCTTGTTTTTCACGCTGAGGCGGAGTGCAGGAGAGTTCCAAAGTGACTTCAGAGTGTAGAAGGCGTGCGTGTCTTACCTTTCTGACTCTGATTGGGTGGCTGTCTGTCTTTCATATCTTCATCCGTTCGGCGTATCTGTAGTTGAAACGATGCTTCCTAGATAAGTGATGAAAGTGACCTATTTCAATTTTTTCCCGTTGATGGTGGCTGTCGCTGTTGCTGTTGGATGGTTATCGTCATCACCTCCACCTTCCTCATGTTCACCTAGAGTCCTGTATTCGCTGCTTGCTTCCTCACCCAGTTTGTTGGTTTCACATCTTCGAGTTTGTGTGACGTTAGACACGAATCATCCGCGAAGTCTGGTTCTTCTGAAGTCTTCTTATCGGTAGTCCAGAGTACTCCTAACCTCTTGCTACACACTCACTCTCTGACGCATAATCCAGTCCTCCACCATTGAGAATATCACCGTTGATGGTAATAGGCAGCCTTGACTTATTTTTATCTTCCCCTCATAGACCCCTGTAAGTTTCCTATTGTGGGTTGCCTGACACGTGCCACTGTTATGTAGCCGAGGTTGAATGAGTTTCATAAAGATTTTTCGGCGCCGCACTCCATAGTGTCGAAGTACTTTCCAGATTACTTAGTGGTCAAAGCTGTTGAAGGCCTTTGTGAAGTCGATGAAATTGAAATAGACAGCGGTTTGGCTGCCATTCAATGCTGTCTTCGATTTTGGGGGTGGTGAGTAGATTTGGAATTCGGTCCACACATGATTTGCCTTTCCTGAATCCATGCAGCTTAATCTGGCGGGTGGCGGAGTTCTGCAGCCTGTGCATCTTCTATTCTCTCCAGGATGATGCGACTTCGCATTTTACTTGGCGTGGAGAAGAGCATGATCCTGTGGCCGTTGTTGCAGAAACCCAGGTTTCCCTCCTTCGTAGTTTCACAAATTAGCCTTTCTCCAAATTAGTAGGTATCCCTTGTGGTTTTGTCCTTCAGTTTCCAATCGTTCAACTTGAATTCTGGCCTGTTTCTAGTTATTCTAAAGTATTTCAGCTTCACAATGAAGATTCCCCAAACTAGATGGTGATCCGAGCCCACATCTGTTATCCTTCTCGACTTTGTACCCACTTCCTTGAGATTGAGGTGAAATCTGTCTGGTTTGTGATGTGTCCATCAGGCGGAATCCATACTGCTTTGCGTACACCCTTGTGCTTGTACATCTTGCCACCGATCACCGAATCAGTAAAGGTGCAGAAGTCTCCGTATTGTTATTCATTGTCATGCATTTTCCGAGAGACAACCCCTCGACCCATGATAAGTTCTCTCCGTGATTTGTATGCTCCCAATTCATTTGGCATTCATATCGCCCACAAGGGTTTTGATGTCACCATTCGGGACGTTTTCCATTACTGTTTGTAACTATCTATGGAAATCTTGCGTCTTCTCCTGTTCTGAGTCGTTTGTAGGTGCGTAGAATTGTAACTTCCCTTCTTTCGAGTTGAATTTTGATGACATTATCCTGGATTGCTTTGTTTCCCACTGCCTAATAGGTTTGGTTGCCACTGGTGACATCATGATAGCCACTAACTGCCTCAGTGGGTTCGTAGTTGTCGTCTGGGTGACCAGACCAGAGTAGATTACCGACTCTCTATTTAACAATCTTCGCCTAACTGGCAGTAATCCCAATAAAGAGAGGTGGATTTGCATAAGGCTATCAATCTGATGCTGTGATAAACAATACCAACAATATGATAGAGAAGATTTGTAGCTCAGGTGGATGATTTTGATGTGGTTGTGTTGTCTGAGCTGGATAGTTGATTTGCGAAGCTTTCATAACCCTACTAGGTGATATCTTCAGCGCATACTTTAAGCGCACACCTCAAATTGAAGTATGCTCTGAAGATGTCACCTAGTAGGGTGATGAAAGCTTCGCAAATCAACTATCCAGCTCAGAGAACACAGCCACGTCAAAAATACCCTCAATTTCAACGCTCCACATCCATTCCATCTGTTCTCGCATATTCCCAGCACTTCTAGACCATACTTCCTCATTTCCCAGGCCATATTAGCAGCCGTCCCAGACATATTCGTACACTGTGCGTACATTCCACATCCCTATTCTTATTCTTGCTTTCATCGAGAGGACATAGATATATCGAGTGGCTGACTGGCACCCTGAAGGCTTTCACCAGCCCTCTATATCATTTCGCCTCTCCGATTCCAGCGAAGAATAAGTTTGTTTTTCGTATAGTTTGTATTTTTAACATTTTTCTTGTGCATTGAAGTCTCTGTGTAGCAGTCCTATTGGTTTCCCGAAGTAGGATCTCTAGGCCTATCTCAAACCCTGCCTATTTCCCGGGGCATGAACCGGCTAAAACACCAGCAACCAACCAACAACACCAATAATCATTACCATTTAGACATTTTAAATCTCATCGCATGACTGCGAATCTTTCACACTTCCAGTCATTTGGCACCTAGGTGTAACTCCCAACGGTTGTGGCAGAATGACAATCTGGCCCTTCAGAGCTGAGTCTCGTTCTTGACTGAATTCGAATCAGTGTAAGGAATCGGTGGTCAATGACTTCTCTCGACACGGCTCAAAAAAATTTACAGTGGTTCAGAGGTGTTCATTCCGCGTCACCTTAAAAATAAAATATATTGAACTGATACGTGTTGATTAATCTTTGCGTTAAAGAATTACCTATTTTGTAACAATTTACAATTCGACTGAAAATACGACTAAGTGTTGTCGACCGAAAATAAACTTTGACGAAAATATCAATCAAATAAGGAAACACACTTCATGTAAGGAAGGCTTTATGAAATGTACAGCTCTTATTTTATGCTCAAAAATGAACATGATCTCAACACCCGAATCGTTTTATTTGGTACCGACCGGTACGCCAACCTTCAAACTCACAAGGTTACTGATAATACATCATTGCTAATAAATGTGAAAAAGTCAGTGTTTCCTACTGTGTGATTGCCACCAATCACCTAGTATCACAATCTCAAATATCTAAAGATGAATGTTTTTCATTGAATTTACGATTTTCCAGTCGATTGAATGGATCGAAATGCTCTATCTCAGGTTGATATGTCTGTTGGCTTCTTGTGCAGATGCTTCGACGATGTCTGGGTATTTAATTAATATTTGCAATTGGTGGACGAAATCCGCATCCTGGATTCCACTGCTAATCACCCATCCACCAATTAAATGTGTATCTTTGCTCGAGGTCAATTTTTGTGCAGAAAGAGAGAGAGAACGAAAGAGAGGGATGGAGTATGCACTCTCACTAATTATATATAATAATTATATATATATACACTTAGAAGTAAAAGCATTTATACTCCCCTCCGCTGTCCTCTTTTCTTTTTTCTTTTTTAATTTGGTTATAACAGCACAGGAGAGAGTGATGCTCAAAATAAGACAATATTTGAATATCCATACAAGAAGAAAAGAACAGACGTTGTGAGTAATAATGAACCTACCGATTTAGATGAGCATGAAAGAAATACAAATAAACTTAGATTGAAAATTGAACCTACTGAAAAATCATTTACAATGATGAATAATACAAAAGCAGCAGGAGCATCACCAGCACCGGTAGGCAAAGAAAAACAAATTATGATGGCAACAACAACAACAGCGACGAAAACGCCATTGAATCAGTCAAGTAAAGGTACACGTCAAAAAGTCACGATAATACCAATTGCCAACCAAATCAGTGAAACTCAACAGGCAGGAAATCACGATAAATTACTGACAAATGGAATGGAGACAAAATATGTTATCCTGCCTAAATTAGAATCATCACCGAACAGGAGAAGACGATTCATTAAATCACAATCAACAGATCCGAATTCATTAGTCACATGTCAAACAGACTTCAAGTTTATTGCGCCTAATAGAAGTTCAATGCCTACAACACAAACAATTTCACATAATGTTAATCACAATGAAACGCATATTACACCTATACAACAAAATGATGTTAGTATAAGTGCCATAAGTCAAACAGTTGAATCTTCGCTTAACAATGAGGAGTTAAAACCTTCTTCATCTCTAATAAGCATAAAAAGCAGAGAAACAGACTTAGAACGCCAAAATCGAGCAGAGATCACGAAGTGTTTAGTTGAAAAAGAATCAGTTTTATGAAAATAAATTCTACCCAGCGAACATTATTCTGTTTTTGATTGATATAGAGTTAATCGTTGCGGGGTGGGTGAAGATATATATATATATACATCAGAATCATATCATCAACAATGAAAACCTCAAATACTGACCACAGTACCTGTGTGTAGTTTGCAAAAAAATAACTCCTTTGCATTCCAAGTGGAACAATAAGGCATATTAATATATGTGTAAAACTTGGGCACTGTGGCGGTAGTAAGTAATTCCATATTAGTTTGTTTATTAGATGTATCTTACAGTGAGTGAAACAGTATTAGTCTTTACTGGATGACAAAGTTTCGAACAAAATTCATCATTCTTCATAATCATATCGTCAATTGTAATCACACGACTTTGAAACTTAAGTTTTGTAGTTCTCTTTGTCTTCTTTTTTTTGTCGTTGGAGTAGTAGAATTTTCCAGATATATAGGTGGACAGGTGTTGAATCATTCCTATTACATGTATTTGCAGTTGATTGCTGTGGAAATCAGACATAGCTATGTCTGACTTCTTTCAAAGTCATATGTGAAATAAGAAAAATAAGTAATATTAATAAATAATTAAATAATAATAAGTATTTAAATTCCAAGGGAAAATATGCCACCAAACTGAAGGAGTTGCCATGGGATCACCAGTATCCCGGTTGTGGCAGATATATTCCTGGATAGGTGGGAAAACATAGCGACTGAAACGTTCACCCCGACTTCAAAAGTATGGTGGAGGTATGTAGATGACATATTCACTGTCCTTAGAACATAAGATATAGATAGATGGAAAGGGCATCGGCGATTGGTAACACCAGACAACTATTTAGGCTTATCAGGGAAACAGGTAGTAAAAGGCAAATGATAAGTGAAACAATCTCCGAGAAGAATGGTACCGTAATTAGCTCCCAGGATGGACGACTGAAACGCTGGAAAGAGCACTGTGAGGAGCAGTTTAATTGGCCTACAGCCACGCTTAAACTGCCGAACATCCAACACCTCCCTGAATGGGATATAGACACATGTCCTGAGTCCCTAACTGAGGTTACTAAAGCTGTCACTAATCTGAAACAAGGCAAAGCAGCGGGATCTGATGGAATGACTCTAGAGTTATTTAAGTACGGTGGAGAAAGTTTACTGTCTGCATTAACTGAGGTTCTAGGCAGCGTCTGGGAATCAGAAGAAGTCCCATCGGGTTGGTGTAAGTCACTGATTATCCCGATATACAAGAAGGGAGACAAGTCTTCCTGTGATAATCACAGAGGGATTAGCTTGACTAATATAGTATCTAAAGTCCTAGGCTCAATAATACTGAAGTGGTGACGACTAGTGGTGTCCGTCAGGGATGCCCACTATCCATATTTCTATTCAATTTCATCGTAGATGTACTAATGGATTAAACCCTAAGTCACTTCAGAGACTCAGGGCTTGACTTGCTACCAGGGAACAATCTCGTTGACTTAGAATATGCAGAAGATATAATCCTTCTAAGCGAGGACACTGACAAAATGCAGAGTCTTCTGAACACCTTGAGCTGCAATCTACGAATGTTTGGCATGCAACTCGCTCCCACCAAATGCAAGATGATGTTGCAGGACTAAAATACACCAACTCCTAGTTTAGAAATAGGGAGTGAAGTGCTAGAGCTGATTGGCCGCTTCACTAATTTGGTAAGTACCATCAGCCGTAACGACGAAATCTCAGTACGGATACAGAAGGCTAGTTCCGCATATGCCAGTTTACGCCGTCTCTGGCGTAGACGTGATGTGCGGCTGGCTATCAACCAAAGGGCGAGTGTGCTTCTCAGCAGTCTGCTTCGTCCTCCTTTATGGCTGTGAGACCAGGTCACTGAGAGTGGAAGACATGAAAAGGCTGGCTAGCTGTCTTTGATCATAGGTGCCTACCCTCTATCTCCCATGTGAAGTGATATAATAAGGTGAGCAATATTAAGGTTAGGCGTCGAGTGCTAGGTAAGGAGGGGAAATCAATCGACGACGCTGTGAAGCTACATCGACTCAGATGATTAGGACATGTGTTACGTATGCCTAGTCATCGCCTTCCTCGACAATGGGCAATGTTAGCTGATATAGAGCCAGGATGGACAAGAGCTAGCGGTGGCCAAACCAAAACACGGCACCAGTCAATGAAATCCACAACAGTTGGTCTAAGCCAGTCACGTAGGAAGGTGTAGACTTCCTGGTTGGGGTCGTCGGGACGGTAAAAACCAACGATTGCAAAACAATTAGTGATAGGGCTCAAAATCGTTCTCAATGGCTGGTGCAGATGCATCCACTCCTTGTGACTTATGATTTCAAATGAAACTATATCGTTCTTCGTTATTACTAGTTCTTTGTCTCACACCTCTGTTTACTGTCTCTATTATGCATTTCTTCTACTTTCTCTTGATTTGTGTGCCAGTGCTTTACTATACTCAGAACACAAGATATAAATAGAATTTTCAAACACATCAACTCGAAGGTAGAGGCAATTCAATTCACTTATGAATTGAAAAGTCAGGAAGGGGAGCTTCCAATGTTAGATTGCAACGTAAAAAGGAAAGAAGATGAGAAGTTAAACATCAGTGTTTACAGGAAACCCATACATTTAAACAGATATTTGAACTTCCGATCGTCCCACCCAATCTATGTCAGTAAAAATAGGATTGGTAAAATATTTAAGTGACAGAGCACAAAATCTAAGCAGTACCAAGGAAAATCTAAGAAAGGAAGTGATACACATCAAAACAAGCCTTGAAACTTAATAATTACTCTGATAAATTAATCAGGAAATATGTAGGGAAATGTGAAAATAAAATAAATAATGATAGTAGCAATAGTGATGATAATAATAGTGATAATAATAGTAATAATATTAATGACGACACCAACAATAAGGAATCGAAATCATCAGTAGTAATTCCATACAAGGAAGGAACCTCGGAGGCCTTACGCAGAATTCTTAACAACGCTGGCAGGAATAAAAGTGGCTGGCATTCAAACCAACAAAAAACTCAATTAGAAACAAGCTTTGTCGGTTAAAGGATCAACCCTGCGGAGCCTTAAAAACAAAACAATTTAGTCGATCTAATATCCTGCCTCCAGTGATTGTCAGGTCAAATACATAGGTCAAACTAGTGGAACAGGGGCAGTCAGACTAGCCGAACATAAAAACCTAGCGGGAAAATATAGATTGGTTGACCCAAATAAGATAAGAAATCTAGAGAATAGTTCAGCTATACCACTCACTACATGCAGTTACACACAACCATACAATAAGATGGATGGGCTAGGATGACAGTTTTTCTAAATCTAATGTCACAGGGTGTAGGGAGGGAGAGATTGATAACAGAAGCTTGTTTATCGAATCAGCTGAGGGAGAATACATGTAATAGGAATGATTCAACACGCGTCCACCCAGATACCTGAAAAATTCTACTACTCCAACGACGACAAATAGGAGAGAACGAAGAAAACTATAAAACTCAAGTTTCGAAGTCGTGTGACAATAATTGATATGATTATGAACCACAATAAATTTTGTTCGAAACGTCATCCAGTAGATAATACTGTTTCACTCACAGTGTGATACATCTAATAAACAAACTAATATGGAACAATAAGACGTCGAGCTTTGCAGTGCCATCCGGTAGAGGTTGTGTTGTTCTTCTTCAGGGGCGGGAGATTCGCCACACCCTTTCCTCCCATTTTGTTTGAGCCTGCCAGTACCTGGGGGCCACGTTTAGGAGTGCGTCGACCGCAGTGAGAATGGAACCCGGATCTCCTGAGTAGCTGGCAAGTATTTTCTACTACTGAACCACCGAAGCACTGCAAGTGGAGCGCAAGGTCTATAAGGAGAATTACAGAATTCAGTGAATTCAAACCCCCACCACAAAGACTTTAGTCAAAACAATTTCACTTTCAGCTTGGGGTGACAATCTAGTAATTTAATTTTCATTCTGAATTACACCGGTGATATGATGAAACCTGTGGAAAGAAGTTGAAAGACAGGACTAACTCGTCTAAAACAATGTCTTAATGACCACAAGATGTAACAAGTGTTCGCTAAATCGACAATGGCCGCAAATGCATAACTAATTCATCATATGTTTATTCTTTATTCTTAATAATTAATCCAGAAAAGTAAATTAACCAAAAAAATGAGTATCAAAATAATCCAAAAACAATATAAGAACCACAGGCCATAATATTTAAAAAATAAAATAAACAGGTAAGTATTTCTGTTATGGCGCAACTAGTCGAAGCAGGGGATGTAAAAGAGTTTAGGATTGAATGTATCGCATCCGTGTACGAAACCTGCTTAGTTAGTGTGTTCATCCAGAGCCCCATCGGATAGTCGTATGACCATTGTTTCACGTACCAGACGATGAGCCATACTCACCGTGTGAGGAGGCTGATGAACCCCACCCCCTCTCGTTGCCTAAGCTGAGTAAGGTGGAGTAGGACTCAAAAGTATGGCGCCTTAGTTGAAACCGAGTGATTCAACCAATGTGCCACATCACCACTTCGTATGACTGCATAACTTAGGATCCTAGATACTATAATAGTGAAGCTGTGGTGGTGTGATGCAGACAATGTGTTCCAAAGGAATATTACTTCACATTTTCCCACAGTTCAATAAGGCATTAGCAACAGAATACGAGATGTGTGTATTTGAACATTCTATTTCATGTCGTTTAATGTAAACCAAAATCACAGGCTCAATGATTGGTTAGAGAACATAAAATTGTATCTATATAAATAACAGTTAGATCAATTGAAGACATACCTTGGCTTCCACGTCTTGCCTTCTGTTGGTACAAAGCTAGTCCACTTATAGTTGCAACAGAAAGAATAGTCTCATAAATTCCATTCTAGAACAATAACCAAACAGCAGTTGTGATGAAAGCAAATCAGTTTCCGATGTAAACCAAGTAGAACATTAGTGTCTCTGGCAAGTTACCAAGTAACAGCCTTTAAAAACACCTCTGACGTTATGTAATTATTTGTTACTTCGATTTAGATCAGGATACAACTTTCAAAAATTTATTCAGAATTCACACTGAGATTAAGTGATGGATAATAATGGTGTTCTGCCCAGTATTGTAACAATCTCTCGTGAGAAATTATTAAAGCTTCACTCATTGTAGGTTTTACTTAACATAGTTATTTTATGGAGAATGTTCTCTAGTATTGATTCTTCTGCCACTTCTTTCGCTTTCGTTACACATGACTTCTCGAGGCAGTTGATATATATGTATAGGACTTCAATAGCTTTAATTCTGATAGAGACAGAAAGACCAGATTTGCAGTATAAAATGACATCATCATCCTATTTCACAGGTTCTCATCAGCTGCGAGCTACCTGAAATTACAATAGTTTATGAAATTTTATAATTCAATCTAAAGGTCACCTAATTAACTAGCTTGCTAGTTTTTTAGTCGGTGCCGAACCCGGATAAAGAGAGAGGGTTGGGCGCAGGGCCACCATCCCAACGCCACTAGTCCTATCAAACTGTTGGAGAAACTT